AGCCTGGGCTTCATAATGAGTTCAAGGCCAACCAAAACTGCATAGCAAGACCCTGTCTCAAAAAAGAAAAAAAAAAAAGTTCTGTTTTTGGCAATTATTCCATAAAAAACAAAACAGTGATTCATAGATTATCACTGTATTATCACTGTACCACTGTCTTCTACTGTACACTGTCTAGTGAAATTTGACATGTATGTACACTATTTGACACACATATACACTATTGCTTGACCTCTACAAAGGCTCAATTCAAGTTAAATCAAAGAATTTGAAAGCATTTCCACAAGCAATTAGATGAACAAAGCAATACAGGAAAAAAAAAATACAGAAAAATCTTATTAGTAATGATGAAAACTCCTATTTACAAATATGAAGGATACAGAATATACACAAAGATGTTAAAATAACTGTAATGATTAAGGATCCATATATATAATTTGATTGCATACATATGAAATTCTACATACTCCCACAAGCCCAATCAATCAATCAATCAATCAATATGGAGAGAGAAAAGGCTGGGTATGGTGGTATATATCTATCATCCCAGCTACTCCAGAGGACTTAAGGCAATAGAATCACAAGTTCCAGATCAGCCTAGAAAACTTAAGACCCTGTTTCAAAAAGGCTTGGGCATGCCTGTAATCCCAACATTTGGGAGGTTTCAGCAGGAGGATCATGAATCATGACTTCAAGACCAACCTAGGTAACATGGGAAGACCCTGTCTCCAAAATTAAAGGGAAAAGGGATTTAGCTCACTGGTGCTGCACCTCCCTTGCAAGTACAAGGTCATGAGTTCGATCCCCAGTACCAATAACAACAACAAAAAAGAATAAAAGGGGGCCAGGGATTTAGCTCAGTGGTGCCACCACCTGCCTCACAAGCGCAAGGTCCCGAGTTCGATCCCCAGTACCAAAAAAAAAAAAAAGAATAGACTGGTGTCTCCCCAAAAGTGCTCCGCCGGTCCGTCCCAGTCCTGTCTGGCCTGTGCCTGGGCTGGGGAGGAGCGGAAGACACATGGAGCCCCACACGGGCTGGTGGACTGTGCAGCTTCAGAAGATCCTCTTCAAAATTTATGCTTAGCATCTCAAGAAATTCTTCAAAAAGCTCAGCAAAGTGGGAGGTCAAAATGTCTCTGGTGTGGTGGCTCAAGGATGTTCTACTGCTATACGTGCTATGTCTCAGTGGAAAATGTACCTGTTGGACAGATGCCACTTGTGAAGCTGCCACTGAAGATTGACATCATTAAACATCCAAATGAAACAGATGGCAAAAGCACTGCTATCCATGCAAAACTCTTAACACCTGAATTTGTCAACATTTACACATACCCTTGTATTCCAGAATATGAAGAAGAGGATCATGAAATTGCACTCATTTTTCCTGGCCCTCAGTCTATCTCAATAAAAGGTATTTCTTTTCATCTGCAAAAAAGGATTCAAACTAAAGCCAAAACTGATGGCCCTGAGAGGACATCTTTTAAGAGCAAGAAAACTGAAGAACAGGAGAGCTGTGATTTGAATGACAGCAAGTGCAAAGGCACAACCCTGAAAAAAGTGATCTTTATAGATAGCACCTGGAACCAGACAAACAAGATGTCACTGAAGAGCAGCTCCAGGGGTTGTTACAAGTTGAGTTGAAAACAAGAAAAACTTGCTTTTGGTGCCATCAAAAAGGAAAGCCAGATACTTTTCTTTCTACAATTGAAGCCATTTACTACTTTCTAGTAGACTACCATACCGATATATTAAAGGAGAAATACAAAGGACAATATGACAATCTTTTATTTTTCTATTCATTTATGTACTAGTTAATAAAAAATGCCAAATATGCTGGAACTATTCAAACAACAAAACTTAACCCATTAGTTGTTTACAAGCCACCTGTCACTGTATTCTGCTAAAATTAATAAACTTATACTTGTGCTTTTTGTTTAAAAAAAAAGAATAAAAGACTGGGGTTGTAGGTCACTAGTAGAGTGCTCCTTCATTCAATCCTTAGTACTGCAAAAAACCCAACAACAACAATAAATAAATTAATTCTCTCGTGGGAGAAGGATACCTATCAACTAGTCTAACTTTCCAAAGAAACCTTTAGCTGGGCTTGGTGATGAATGCCAATTTAGCAACGTAATGAGACCCTGTCTTGAAATAAAAAAGTAGAAAAGGGCTGGGGATGTATCTTAGTGCAAAAGCCCTGGGTTCAATCCCCTGTACCACACATACACAAAAAGTTTTATACAGTGTTTTTCACATATACAGTAGGTCTTTTTTCGTTTTTGTGCTTTGTGGCAGGGTCTCCTAGGTAGTCACTTTGGCCTTCAACTCACTATGTAGTCCAGGCTGGCCTGGAACTCTTATCAATCCTCCTGTTTCAGCCTCTTGAGTGCGGGAATCATAGGCATGCACTACCAGCGCCGGCTACTAGGTCTTAATTATATCATACATTATTTTGACATACCAAGTTTCCAATTTTATGTTTCTTAAAACTTGGTCCCAGCCCAGGGATTTAGCTCAGTGGTGCCACCATCTGCCTTGCAAGCTCAAGGTCCTGAGTTCAATCCCCAGTACCAAAAAGAATAAAAAATTAAACTTGTCCCACTACTACTTATTTATTCTAAGTTCATCCTGCCTATATTTAGTTTCAAGTGCTACTACTGTTGCCATACCCCAAACTCCTAAATATCCCCAGGTTCATTTCAGGTCTACTTCACATTTATATCTGACCATACCTATGACATTACAGTATTCTTCATTACTTTACAATTTGGGATATAAGGTACCTTGAGTCTTCATTATCTTTTTTCAAGGCTATTTTTCCCAAGTGGTCCTTTATTCTTTAATACTATTTTTGGAAGCAGTATGTTAACTTGTACAACAAAAACTCTTAATTTACTGGAATGATATTGAATTCACACCTTAAGTTGGACAGAACTGACAACTTTATTCAACTATTCCTAGGCAAGGATATATTTAGCTCTTTTCTTTTTCCTTTCATTTCACTGGGGATTGAACTCAAGGCATTAGACTAGCCTATATCTCTAACCCTTTATGGTTTTTTGAGGCAGGGTATCAAACTGGGGATGTAGTTCAAGGATAGAGGACTCGCCTATCATCTACAAGGCCCTAGGTTCAATTGCCAGTACCACAAAAAAAAAAAGTTGAGGGCCGGGGATTTAGCTCAGTGGTTTCACCGCCTGCTGTGCAAGTGCAAGGACCCGAGTTCGATCACTGGTACCAAATAAATAAATATAAAAAGGGTTGGGGATGTAGCTCAGTGTGAAGGTTCTGGGCTCAATCCTGAGTACTGCCAAAAAACAAGGGGAAAAAACTTCCATTGTAATCTCTACACCTTTACTTTGCTTGTCCTTCCTGCAAGAGCCGAGATGTATCATCCTGAGCTGCAACAGCAATAGCAGGTGTCACTATTTTGTTCTGATTTTAAAGCAACTGTTCTAACTTTACCTTTCAGTACAGCAAATGCTATTTATCAGGTTGAGGAAATTCTCTTCCATTCCCAGCTGGCTATAATAAGCTTTTTATAACTACTGAGTGTTCAATATTATCAAAACCTGTTTTTCAGCATTTATTCTTTTTTGCTTCTCTTGGTGGTCTGTAATGGGATCTGAATGTCAAACTATAAGACCTAACTACATACTGATGCCAAGCAGTCTCTATGGTCGTTTATAGAGATGAGGGAACTACAGCCTAACTACTGAAGGGCTGCTCACTACCAGAGAAAGGACCAGCTCGCAACTCCCTGCTTGCTCCAAAAGGTAGTGAGCTCTTGACCCTGGGTTCCTTAGCCAAAGCACACCCCACTGTGTGCACAGCCATCGACTAGGCCTAACACAATAAAATGTATTGCTCTGACCCACTGAATTTGAGTCCAGCTCTGGCCTGGTACCTATGGTTTTATGGCAGACACTATCATTCTTCATGTCAATACATTCTCTAGGAATTTGGGCTTCTTTTCCCGGAGAGCTCATAAGACATCGTTAAAGGGCTTCTTTAAAACTCTCAAAATGAATACTGTAGAGTCATTTGAAGAACAAATGACAAAATCATGTTTTCAAAAGGGGAAGGTGGTCTGTGCCTGTACACACAGCACTCTGGGAGGCCAAGGCAGAGGATGGCAATCTGAGCCCAGTCCATGCAACTGAAGAGACTTAGTGAGTCCTTGTCTCAAAAATAAAAAGGAAAGAAAGGGCTGGGATGTAGCTCAGTGTGAAGCCCTGGGTTCATTCCCAGTACCAAAAATTGAGCAAATAAAAAGTTGCTTATCTGCCCATCACTTTTTTTTTTTAATTGGACCAGGGATTGAATCCTGCAGCACTCTGCCACTGACCTACATCCCCAGCCCCTGTTTTTGAGACAGGGTCTCACTAAATTGCCCAGGCTGGGCACAAATTTGCAATCAGTAGCCTCTTTGGGCTACTGTGCTCAGCTCTAGTTGTAAGTTTTATTCGCCAACTATTCTATCAGGTACCCTCTATGAGTAACCAAAGCTAACAAAGACAGGGCCTTTCAAAAAAATTTTTTTTATTAATCAAAATAAAGCAATTGAGGCAGGGGATTTAGCTCAGTGGTTCCACTGCCTGCCTGAAAAGCACAAGGTCCTGAGTTCGATCCCCAGAACCAAAAAAGAAAGCAAGCAAGCAGTTAAGAACATCGTAGAATTTCAGAAGGCTATTTGTTAAAGAAATGCTTTACTTCTAATTAAGCAAATGTATACCTCATACTTCATATGACACATCAAGAGTATTAACTTGCAAGAATACATCAATATTTGAAATTATTTTAAAGTATTTCCATTATCAATTTCAAAATGTCAATATACATAGAATATTAATTACCAGATTTATTATAGTCACAAAGAGAATACACTGCTTGCTGCTTTCAAAATTTGAAATCCTAGTATTTTCAGCTATGTGCCTGAGGGCAGCACATATTGCAGAATGAAATATTAAGGTACTTTCATTATTACTTTATCTGTTTACCTGTAGTCAGTCTGTCGACTTGCAGAATGATCATCTCTTGACCATCTATAACCAGATGCATCCTGTAACATAACAAAGTTATTTAGACAGTTAACACTTTTTGGATGAGCAGGATATATCCAGCATGACTACGGAAATCTTTTTTTTAACTTGTTAAATATTTATTAAGAATTTTTCACAAAAAAATCCAAACAAACAAAAAAGAATTTTTGGAATGAAGGATATTGTTTTTTTGTCTTTTAATGTCTTTAAGATTTTACTGGTCTCAAACTAATTGTTGATATGTCTTCTCTTCCTCTATTTTCTGCAATGTGTTTTGTAAGATTGGCATTTTGGTCATTTTGGAAAAATTACTTTTTTAGGTACAGCTTATTTCTGCTGATGTCCTCCCAATCCACTTAAGTTGCTCATCTCTATATTCCTGTACAAATTTGTAGAAAGTATTTTTAAATATTGTCTAATAATTTCAACATCTGGTTTATGCATGAGTCTGCTCCTATGAGCTTCTTTATCTCTTGGAAATAAGTATTGCTTTCCTAGTTTTTTGTGTCTAGTATTTTTTTATTTATTATTTCCTTATTGTATGCTGGGCTTTATGGATGATATATTGTGGAAACTGGATTATGCTTCATCCTTTTCAGCTACTTATCACACATGGATCATTTCATCCTCTTCTCCGGAAATCTATTTTTAAGGTCAAACTTTTTAGAGGAAAAAAATACTTTAAATATTCCTACGCTTCAAAGACAAGTCATCCATTTCAATAATCAACAGTAGATAGTATGTGAGAACCTATGGTACCATCTACCTCTATTAAAAATATGAGGGCTGGGGATTTAGCTCTATTAAAAATATTTGAGGGCCAGGGATTTAGCTTCTGCCACCTGCCTCGAAAGTGCAAAGACCCGAGTTCGATCCTCAGTACCAAAAAATAAAAAAATAAAAATAAAAATATGTGACTCACTTGGTAGATTCACACTGTACAGATGTACTGCCAAAGACACAAATACCAACAGCAGGACAGTTAATGGCTACTGGAGAACAAAGGCTTGAGTTGGTTATAATTTCTCCACCCATCATTTTCCAAGTTCTCTCCTCAATTTTTGATTCAAACTCAGAGAAACTATCTGCTTTTTCCTCTTTCCTAGCTCAAGTTTTCTTTTCACACCTCTCTGACTAAAAACCACAACTAAAAGAAATACACTAAAGAACTATCACTGATAAGCTATGTAAAGAGTACTATGTAAGGGGCTGGGGATTTAGCTCAGTGGTTTCACCGCCTGCTGTGCAAGTGCAAGGACCCGAGTTCAATCCCCAGTACCAAAAAAAAAAAAAAAAAAAAGAGTACTATGTAGCACTAAATTTAACATTAATCAAACACAATTTGCCCTCTAAGATACATTCACAAAGATACATAAAATAAAATAGCAATCCATACCGGTTACTTTAAAATAATGCAATGCATAAATTATAACATGTAAATTACTTATAATTAGGAAAACTGATTCAAGAAGAAAAACCCTTCATGTTCCTCTTTATCAACACACTCCTATTCTCAAGTAAAATGTATGTATCATTTTCCTTCTCAACACTAAATCAAAAGGAAACAATTCAACAGCTGTAATACAATACCAGATCAAGTAAGTAGTTTTTTTATGTAAGTGGACCCCAGATAATAATTACTATAAGGATGATAAATGTGGTTGGTGTTTGAAGGAAATTTTTTTAAAAAGGTAATACAAAGCATGAAGACAAATATAATTGTTTTGGTTTTTTGTGTTTCATGGCGCTAGGGATTGAAATCAAAGCCTCGCACATGCTAGGCAAGTGCTCTACTCTTAACTGTATCACCAGCCCAGACAGACAAAATTTGGAGGCCAATAGGAAACAACTGTGCTCTTCTGGAAGCACCGTCATGGTTCAGTTTTTAAGCGGAGAAAAAAAAAAACATGTTCATAGTGTTTCAGAAATTAGTCCAAAGAATACACAACTCCTTGTCTGTACTAGAGGCCACAAAAGATTTTCACAAAAGAGATAACAAATGTTTATTCTACACTCAAATTGTTTCTCCCTGGATCTACCTGGAGAATAATGGCAAGATCCAGAATTTCTAGCATAGAAACAATGCACAGCATTTACTTTGTAACATCTGACCCCGCTTAACAAGGAACAGCATGACTTTTAAAATCTGAAAACAAAAAAAAAAATCAATTCTATGACAAGTAAGGAGACTCTAACACTCCAAAGTTTAGGAAAGAGAAAATGAAAAAATGGAAACAAAGTCTCTGTAAATAGGGAGGGATGGAGGGGTTGGAGGGAGGGCAGGGGAAGGGGGAAAAAATAAGAGAGATTATGTAAAGGCGCAAATTTCTAATGATGAATGTCATTATATTGTATACCTCAAATGTACCAATAAAATTAATTTTAAAAAAACACAAAGTTTAGGAACACACACAAGAACACAATGAATAGTCTTGTTAGCGCTTGTCAATTTGTCAAAGGTACTATTATGTAATAATAAAGAGAACTGAGGTCCCATTAAGTACCCATCCTTGGAAATTGCTGACCTCCATTTCTTCAAGTGTACTCTATGGGGACTAATCCCATAGCCAGTGTGAGATCAAATTTTATTGTAAGTGTTTAAATATATACTGTTAATTACTATGTTACATACAGTACAAAAGGGGAAACAGAAAAGGTACAAAAACATGAAGAGGAATATTGTAAAGATGCAAGCTAAAACATGAATTGTGTCAAAAAATACTTTTAATCAAATTAATAAGAAATGAGGACAATTTTACACATGTAACAACATGTATCCTTTTCATGTAGTTTCAATAATGAGAAATTATAGGGCCGGGGATCTAGCTCAGTGGTTTCATCGCCTGCTGCGCAAGCACAAGGACCAGAGTTTGATCCCCGGTACCCTCAAAAAAAGAATAAGAAATTATATTTATGTGAATTCTATATTCTGGTAACATTTTAAAAACAATCCAAATAGTTACTTCTTCAGTATGCCCACATACATTTTAGTGGTTATAAGCAAAAAAGTTTTGTTGTTATGTACAGATGGACTGTTGAATTAAAAGACTATATATTTCTCCCTTAAAAAAAAAAGAGAACTTTATGAACTTCTAGATTATCAAGAGAAAAATTATAATAGTAATAATAGCAATTAATATTTTAAAAGTGCTTACTATATGACATGAACAATGTTTTGCATACATTTTAATACGAGCTACCAGACTTTAACAACGACAACAAAAATGAGACTATCAACAACTTTAACCCCTTTTCTCATAGCATTTTATCATGATTAATATATAGTAATTGTACCAGCATTAAATGGTAACCATTTGCTCATCATTTTTTAAAGTATCAAGACAAGAGATTATACAGCTCTGAAAATCCCTGCTAATCTGAAAGATAAAAAAAACAATGTAGGATATGGTTTAGCGGTAGAGCTCTTGCCTAGCACCTGCAAAGCCTTTGGCTTGATCCCTAGCACTGAGGAAGGCAAGCTCAGCGGAAACAATGACATTCTGAGCTGTCCAGAGTGCCTACCCACCTTGTCTATGACCCCAAGATACAATTCCCACTGGACAGCTCCAGCAGGCCGTTCAAGAGAGCATCAGCAGGAAATGTTTATTCAAATGCTTTTATGGCTATCACAAACATTTTCATCACATGAATTTTAAACTTATGATAATGGTTAGTACATGGGGAAATTTACATACTCCTCTGTGAGGTGGACCACTTCTTCGATCGTGAGAAAAACTGCGGCCCTGGTCATATTCTCGGTAAGCAACATGACTGTAATATCTACTGTAGCCTCCTTCACCAGGTCTGTCTAGCAGTGGTGGTTTCTTTTCTAGCAGTGGAGGTTTCTTTTCTAGCAGTGGAGGTTTCTTTTCTAGCAGTGGTGGTTTCTTTGGCACAATATTAACTACTCTATGGTAGCCATCCTAAAACAGACAAAAAAGAAATATGTAAAAAAAATCACTAATTTCTCTAGTTAATTTTGGAAAGGTTTTTTTTTAAAGTAATAAAAATCTTATCCATAATCAAATAGGATAAATATGTACACAAAAATGCATTAATGAAATAACATGAATATAACTAATAGTAAAGTCTTTATGAGGATGAAAGGAAACAAAACTGTTCAATGAAGAAAGCCAAGCATTTAAAATAACAAAGACCAATGCCAAAAAATAAAAAAGGAAAAAGGAAACAAAATATTACAATTTCATAAAAAAATAAACTCCAGAGAATAAGGATGTTACATAACTCTGTTTCTAGTTTCCTTAGAAATGTAGAAATAAACCCATGAAAGATAGCACATATATTTGGTGTACTGTGTTAGAAGTATTCTACTTAGAAGTACAAGATTTTTATACATAAGCAACAGCAAGCAAGGAGATAATGCTGAGCCAGACAGGTGAAAAGGAAACATTTTGCTATTCTTTCAGCACAACTGAAGAGGAGAACCTTTGGCTTAACAAGTTTAGAAGCAAAATAAAAGCTGATAACAAAATTGTAAGGGCCCAGGATTTAGCTCAGAGGCATCCCACCTGCCTTGTAAGCACAAGGTCCTGAGTTCCATCCTTGGTACCGCAAAAAAAAAAAAAAAATTGTAACTAGTTTTTAAATTAATATGCTCTTGATATTTTAACATTTCAGCAACAGGGTGGGTTTTCTGTGGAGGAACTTGGGGAATTGGATGGAGGAAGAACACCTGTCTCCTGTTAGGAGCTGATGTAAAATAACAAAAAGATTATTGCAGTAAGAATAGAGAGCTACAGAACATGTATCAGTCATCTGCTCTAATATACTCATGGTACTTCTAGCAATATTGGGTGAAATATATGTGAAATAAATTTGAAAACTTGCTGTTAAGATACGATTATACATCACCCAATATAACAACAGCAACAACAGCAAAAAACTCTACAAAGGGTAAAGCTCAACACACAGGTGTTTAACTTAAAGTTCGGCTTCTCATGTATAAAATAGGATTAATACTAATATCCCTGAAATTACTAGGGGACTAAATGAGAAACGGAATGTAAAGTGCTTAGTGCAAGTCCCAGCACATACAGGGCCCTCCAGAAATGTATGCTACATTATTACCTTTGCAAGTCTATTTTTTAAAAAACTAAACTCAAGGTGTTCCCTTAAACTGCTTCTTAGCATTAATCACAAAAAGTATTGCAGTTATTAAATTACTATTAACATTCAAATTTCCCAAGAGACAGGAAAATTTTCAACTGTAAAGAAAAACCAAAGTCAATACTTTATATCTGTTTGAAAGTTAAAAACGTCTGATTTTTTTCCATGGGGATATAAAGTGCCCATTTAGTAGTATATTCCATATTAAACTGTGAGATAAGGGGCTGGATGTGCAGCTCAATGGTAGAGGACTTGCCTACCATGCACGAAGGACCTAGGTTCAAAAATCAGCACCAGGAAAAAAAAGAAATGGTGAGACATATTTGAAAAAAAAAAAAACCTAAAAAATAAATAATAAAAACTGTAAAATATATTCTGCTTACATGAAAGATAGTACACAAATAAATATATTGACACATTTTTTTTCCCAAAACTACCTTTCACAGAGGATTTCAATTAAGTCTGGGTATGGAGCTTCTGCAAAATGGCTTTAAACCAAAATAGGAAAAACTATAAATTTTCAAAGCATTTCTAATTCCATATTAGTGATTCACAAAATTAAAATAACTAATTCTTCCAATTCCAAGAAGCCATAAAAATCCATTCCTAATATCCTTAAATGATTATTTGTTTATGCTTACTTGGAGGGTTTATAAAAACATACACATGCCATAATGCTGCTATGAATAAAGAGATTATCACTCTACAAAGCAGCCTTTTCCTCTGTTCAACTGCCCAGTTACCAGAACTCTATTTCAAGATTATATATGATAAAACTTTTGAAGAAATTAAATTTAAACTGCATTTTAGTTCTATATTTTCAAAATTGCCTTTACCAGCCAGACATGCTGGCACACACTGTAATCCCAGCACTCTTGGAGACTGAGGCAGGATGATCCTAAATTCACACCAATACTGGCAATTTAAGGACCTGTGCAGATCCTGTCTCAGAATTTAAACAAAATAAAAAGGGCTGAGGATGTAGCTCAGCGGACAGACCCTGGGTTCAATCTTCAGCATCATTTACTAATTAATGAAAACATTCAGGTCACTGGTTAGCAAAAACAAAAAAATTCCCAATGACAGCTTTTATACCTATAATGAATATCAAATGGGCAAATGGGCACTTCCTGTATGTTTTTAAAAACTGCTTAAATAGTAAATATACATATAGTACTATCTTTGCTCTTCAGACACCTACTCTTTTTATTTTTTTTTGGTACCGGGGATCAAACTCAGGACCTTCTGCTTGCGAGGCAGGCAGCGGAACCACTGAGCCAAATCTCTGGCCCTAGACATCTACTTTTAAAGAAAACTCCCAACTTACATGAAAAGATTTTTTTTTTTTTGGTACCTGGTATCGAACTCTGGACCTTGCACTTATGAGGCAGGTGGAGGAACCACGGAGCTAAATCCCAGCCCCATGGAAAGATTTTAAGAAACAAAGATTTCAGATTTTTCTCCTTTAGAAGCTTACATTTAAAGTTTTAAAAGGAAAAATAAAAAAAGTAAAGTTCAAGCAGTACTTCCTATTTACCTTCACTTGTCAGACCTGAATGAAAATATTACCATTTGAAATTCTTATACAAATCTTACACTGAGTTGTAAATATATAATCTTCCTTTCTAAATGGGCACATGATACAGAGGCAACATTCCTCCATTTTAGGAATACCAACTAAAATAATGGCCATGGAAACACCATTACAATAACAAAAAATTTGGAGGCTGAGGACGTAGTCAATGGTAGAGAGCCTTTGCCTAGCATGCTCAAGACCCTGGGTTCCATCTTCTATTTCAGAAGGACATAAAACTAGAATAGAAAAACTGAATGTCTTACATACAAACAAGAAATAAAAACTATAAGAGCATCTTTAAAAATTGTTAAGGATAGTTGGATATAGTGTCACATATCTTGTAGTCCCAGAACTCAGGAGTCTAGGAGTCAGGAAGATGGCAAGTCTGAAGCCAACCTGAACAACTTGGTGACCCCTTGTGGGCAGGTACATACATAGGTAGAGATAGGAAGGACAGACTAGGGATGTGGCTCAATGATAGGGCGTTTACTTAGTGGTGTGCAAGGCCCAGGGTTCAACTCAGGGAGTAAGAGATGGAGGAAGAAAGAAACTCTAGGGAGCTGAAATTTCTATTATTTCAAAAGCAGGTATTTCAAGTGATAGATTTGGATATAAGTATCTCAATTTAGCTCAATGAAAGCAATTTTAATTGCTCTCTCTATATATAAGTAACACTTGGATTCATTTTAACAAAAAACATTTTTATTTAAAATCAGATTAATTCATAAGCTCCACTCTTTAAGTGTCGTTATCAGTAAGACACATACTGAAGTATTTATTTACACTTGAAATTTACTTCAAAATAATCTGGAAGAGAATGGTAGAGACAGAGGCAAAATACAAATAGCCTTGAGTAGATAACTGTTGCTTGGATGATGTGTCTTTTGGGAATTGATCATATTATCTATTTTTATGTACTTGATACCATATTTTCCTCATAAAAATCAAAATCAACTAACATATGGCACTAACTGCCTAGCAGAGGAACTGAACATGACTGCACATGCTGGTGGTCCTGCAGTGACTTCCTGTCTCAATGATTGTGAGCCTGCAGAATGATGTTGGTCTCTCTGACTATTCTACTCCCAGCACCCAGAATACTACTTGGCGCAAGGTGAGCACCACACACGTACTACATACCTTACTTTGTTATCTAAATTTTATCTTACTTTTGTCACCACATTCTTTTTTACTAGAAAACCCCCACAAATAATGTACCTAAATTTAAAAAACTATTTATGGAGGCTGGTAGACTTTTGCTTTCACAAGCTCTGAGGTTTCCTCTACCTGATCCCTCATATTTTATGACAAGTATTTTTATTATCACACCTATTGGTTTAATTCACTCACTGATTCTTCAGTGAAATACTAGTGTTTCTGGGCCGGGGATTTAGCTCAGTGGCACCACACCTGCCTCACAAACACAAGGTTGTGAGTTTGATCCCCGGTACCAAAAAAAAAAAAGAAAGAAAGAAATACTAGTGTTTCTGAGTCATTCCAGTGGTTTGCAAGGACAATAAAGCACAACACGATTGGCACCAACCCCCCCAAAAAGCGAGGACATTATTACAGAATTTGGCCAAGAATTTACTGCATGTCCTGGAAAACAACTACAACAAAAAGAGTCAAAGCCTGGTATGGCTGGGTGTGGTGGGGCACACCTGTAATCCCAGCACTAGGGAGGCTGAGACATGAGGATCACCATGAATTTAAGGCCAGCATGGGCTACATAGTAAGTTCAGAGCCAGCCTGAACTACATAGCAAGACCTTGTATCAAAAACACCAGAAAAAAAAAAAAAAAGGACTGATGTGGTGGCACATAACTGTAATACCCATATTCTGGAGGCCTCCAAGTTCAGGCCCAGCTTGTGCAACTTAGTGAAACCCTGTCTCAAAATTTAAAACTGGGCTGGGGGTGTAGCTCTGTGCAAAGGCCTGGGTTCAATTTCCAGTACCAAAAACCAAAAAGAAAGTTAAGTTCTTCCAATTATTTCAAACAAGAAATTAAAACACCTCCTGGAGTAGTTCTACACAGGGGATCATTACTCAAAATTCAGCAAATGAACAATTAAGATTTTGCATTTCACCAGGTATATAGTGGCACAAACCTATAGCCCCAGCTAGTCAGAAGGCTAAGACAGGAGAATCACAAGTTTGAGGCCAGCCTGGCAATTTAGCAAGTACCCTGTCTCAAAGTAAGAAATAAAAAAGGTGGGCAG